ACTAACTTCCCTTACCTCGGTGAAGAAATCCGAGCTTCCGGGGAGAGACGATTGAGGAACGGAGAAGAGAGAAAAGTTGGAGAAGAAGAGGAACTTGAATGAAGAAAGGAGGAAATCTTCAGCTAGCCCTTGCCTAAGCTTGATCAGCACCTTCAGTTGCCAAGTATCACCACAAGCAAGAGGAAGAAAAGGAGAAGTGAGAGCCTTGAGAGGGGAAGAGAGAATTTTTCTAGTGAGAGTTGGGAGGGGAAGTGTGTATATACCAGCCACGGGTCTCACATTAATCTTGTGTTTTCTCAAAACAATTTAAATATCTTGTTAATTTTTATATAGAAATATTTTACACTTTTTATAAAAATAAAGCTTCTTTTCTTGTAGTAATTAAATCCATAACAATATATTATATATATCTAGATTCAACAATCATCGCAGTTTGATTTCGCATCTGCTCTCCATATTTCTTGGGAGAATTACAATTCACAATATGAGCCTCAATTTACTTTTCTTTATTATTTTGACAGATCGATCTTCTTTTCGCTTTATTGTGCTTAGATCGATGGATAAATGTAAAATGGAATTTAACGAAATATAACAAATATTATAAAAATGCCATATATTAACATTATAACAATATAATGTTGTTTACCAAAAAAAAAAATAACAATATAATGTTGACTATCTTTTCTTGATGTAGAATTGATATATATATATATATATATATATAATTCATATCACTTTATATGTGTATATCAAATATTGTTAAAATTAGACAACTTGAGGGTAATCAAAATGTTCATATTTTAGTATATTTTGAAATAAATATATTATGTCAATTTTGTTTTATAAGAATGAAGTATCAAATCATCTTGGATTAATATAAAATTTTGTATATATGATCTAAGAATAAAGAACTTTCAATCTAACAGTTGGATTTACAAAGTTCACATTTAATTTAAAGTTATTGAACGGTGTAACACTTAGTAAAAGTTACACTGGTATCGTTTGAACCCTCCTCATATATATATATATATATATATATATATAATTTTCGCATGAAAAATTTCCACAATATAAAACGCAAGTAATTTGCATCCATATAAAATCTAATTCATTCTACCATACATTCTAAATTACGAAATTAATCACCGAAACCATAGTATGGTGATTAATCACCTATAGCTTCATTGGAAGTAAAGGTAGGGAGGTTTAATAATACTTCCCTAGTTCAAACAATAAAAAAATATATATGTCAACGAAAACACGATCATGGCATGTGGTCTCTACATAAGAAACAATGTGTGATGTAATTAAATAATTAAATCATATGTATATAATACAGTGCTTATGAAATTAAACAAGTCTATTAATAGATCCCTATAGCGTAGCTTAAGTGGTAGCTAACAGAACACCAGCTAAATGGGCGAGAGTTCAAACTTGCCATCCCTAATCTCCCTCTCCATTCTTCCACTCCCACCCCCTAGTGCTCAACAAAAGTCATCTGTATGCAGATAAGCATATTGCTCTCATATAAAAACTTTGTTATTAGGTAACTTGTAAATAATTCTATGAGTTATTTGAACCTTTAGATTTGTAGTGAGATTATGACTCAATTCACCTAAAACATGTGTGACAAAATAAAAAGTGAAGCACAAAATAGGAGAATTCACATGAAATAAGTTTATTTTCTTTTTCATCATATATATATATAAATGTAAAAAAAATCCGTATTTATATATAAAATTCGCAACAAATAATAAATGAATAATATTAATTTAAATGGATATATCCATATCCGAAAATTAAATATTATTTTAATATATAATTACTATAGACTCATAATGTAGTATTTGATAAATAATATATTAATAGAAATAATTTTAATACTTTATATTTTTATTCATTAATAAATATCAATTTTGTATAGAGATGATAAAATGGATCAATTTATTCTATCTTCAACTTATCCTTTGTAGATTAAAATAAAGTACGTCAAAGTGGATTGACAAATCGAAAATCTCAATTCATCCTATTAAAAAGAGTCAAAATCAATGGTTTATTGGTGCTTATTTTTCCTCTCTTATAGCTTGTAGGTAGTGAAATTATATTAAGTTTCATTATTTAAAATAAAATTAAAATAAATGAAAGGTAGTAGATTCTATTTTTATTTCATTTCATTTTTATTATAATTTAGAAGATATGAAGCATTTTTTTTTCTACTTTTCATCATAAAAATATCGTATTACTAATTAACAAGTTTATTTATTTTTTATTCCTACCAATATATTCAACCATAATTTTTATGTTTCCTTATATTCCAATTGTTGGAAGGATAAAAACAATATGCGTTATTAATATTATTATTATTCTTCAAAGCACGGGGAATTAAGGCCATGATCACCGTCATATGCTAAAATATAAATAAACATCGGCTGATATAGACCTTCATTTGTAATTTGTAGCATTACCAACCTACACTTAGCTGATTAGTCCTCCAATATAATCAAGTGCAGATTATGATGAAATTATGAAGTGATAAGATCTGGCACTAAGTTATAATCACCATTACGCAACTAAGCAGGTTTGTAAAATACTGCAATCCAATTGACAAACAACACAATTTCAGTGAGGTGTTATTGACTTGAGTTGCTTAAAGCGTGTTTTAAAGTTGACACGAGAATTTCAAATTTAAATTCAAAGAATCATCTAATAATTTTGGGCGGTTGAAGGTGATTAGTAGATTGCTCAAAAGGAGACAAAACAGAAGGAGGTAGGTTTTTTAGGGTTAGGTTCTCTAATTTCTATTATCGAAATATATAATTATCATATACCAGTACTTTAACTTGTGCACATTATGTTTATTATATAGAATATAATTAAAATTAATATACATAAATATTTTAAATATATAAATTATATTTAAAATTTATGATAAATAATTTGTATTGTAACAGAAAATTAATTTTTAATTAATTATTATTTATTTTTTAATATTATTATTTAATTTATAAATAATTATAGTAAATAAAAATCAAATTAGATGGAAAGTTAAAAAAAATCTCTATAAATATTTTTATTGAAAAAAAACTCCTAAAAATACAATTGTATAAGATAAATAATAATATTTAATATATAGAAGTTGATTAATACAATGTTTTATTTATGAAAAAAAATTACAATTGACAATGTAAAATAGCATTTTTTTTTTTACAATAAATGCATGTTTTCAACTTGCATTTGATATCTTAGTATAGATTCACAAGGTCACTTTTCTCTCACCACTTTAAGTACATCATCAACAATAAAGGTTGAATATGTTATTATTAATTTTAGGATTTACAAACACAATGAAATTTTAAATATATTATTATTAAATTTAAAATTTCACCAAAATTTTTCAAAAATTAAATTCAGTAGTAAGAGCTCAAGATACAAGTAATTTCACTTGATATTTTTTAGGTTAAAAGATAAGATCAAAGACTTTGTACTAATAAAAAATTGACTTTATTTAAAGAAAAAAATACCATTATTTCATACATCGATCACAAAAGTCATTGTTTCATGTTGTTATCACAAGTAATTTACATTTTTATTTCAGTAAAATTTAATCTCAGACTTACGTAGAGTTTTTTAAAAAAAAAAATTAAATTAAAACCGTGATATGATATGAAATGAAATATTGAACTTTATTCTTAAATGGGATAGGAGAGAGTTATATATATATAT